CAAAAGCCTTCTTTTTTTTGCAACCCCCTGGGATTCAGAATCAATGAGTCTATCTGTCAGAGCTGCCTGGGTCTCAGAAGATTGAATCATCCATTTAATAGATGAGGAGCCCAAAGAGGGCCACCAACTCAAGGCCAATGGTCCACGAGATGCAGAGCAGGCATAGATTCCAGGTGTCTAGCTCTCTTTAACTTATGGCTCATTTGGTTTTGCAACAGGTGAAGAAGCTAAGTTGAAAACCTAGAAAAACTATGTGGGGCCAGTAGGTCAGACACTCCCTACAAACACTAACATGCTGTTTGCCTTTTCCATCTTATTCTGTCCTGCATTTACAGTGGGATTTCCAGAAGGGAAATGATGAACCCATGTTGCAAAGTTCATACAAAAATAAGCCCAGTACGGTGGTGCATGCTTGTCATCCCAGGACCTGGGAGGCTGAGGCATGAGGACTGTCTGCTTAAGGCTAGCCTGAGCTACATAGTGAGGCTCATTCTCAAGAAACAATAAGAAGGACAGCATCAAACAAAAAAGTTGGTACAGAAATAGCTAAGAGAGACAGGAAACTCTGGCTTCTATTAAGCCAGATTTTAGGAATTTGCCAAAAAGTAAAATTATCCACTATTTTACTGTGTTTTACTTTTTGTAAGGTAAAGTTATATGTTATATTCCAAGTGTTACTCAAATTATTGTAATCATTATTTTAAGTGAATGAATATTTAAACATTTTCTGTTTTAATTTTGAAGATATAACACACATACATTGAAGCTCTTGGGGATCATCAATGATTAAAACAATTTTTAAAATCTATTTTTATTTTATGTGTATGAGTATTCTGTCTGCATCTCTGTAAGGGCACCCATGTCATACAGTGCCTGTACAGGACAGAAGAGAGCATTAGATCTTCTAGAAGTGGAGTTATGGACAGTTATTAGCTGCCATATAGGTGCTGGGGACCAAACCCAGGTCCTCCGGAACTGCAGTGAGTGCTGTGAATTGCTGAGCCATCTCTCCAGCCCCATCCTCAATTATTGAACATTAAAAATAACTGGAAGGGAAACAATGGTATAATGCTTTCCCTTAGGAGCTGACGATCAAACCCAGTGTTCCACCACTGAACTACATCCACAGTCCTAAAAGTGCAATCTTATGAAAAACATTCTCCACAACAAACCCCACACTCCTTCCCTTTCAACTCTATCCTCACATGCGTGAGTCCGAAGAGGTAGAGGAGAGGCTCCCACTGACAGTCAGCAACAGCAAAAGGCTTTTTCATGGGTTTAGATGTTACAGGGCACAGAGGAGCCAATCTGAATTTTGGCTGTCATTTGCCAGTTCTGGGAACTGGTCATATCAGGCCTACCTATATGAACGAAGGAGAATCTGACTCCTCCCTTCAGGGGTTAGTTAACCGAGACAGAACTGATGATACTGCACCTAGCAGATGGACGTACTCAGCATGGACATTCGTATTACTGTGTTCTAGCTCCTGGGCTCTTTCACTGTGGTCAGACTATTTCCCTTTTACAGTCCATATTCAAGTTTAAAAAGTCAATGTTTTTAGTCCAAATTTGTCTCTGTATCCTTTTTTCCTTCATATATATATATATATATATATATATATATATATATATATAGTCATATTTTCTCCG